CCAAAAAATATCATTTATCAAGACAGAAAAGAAGCCACAGATAAGAATATTAGCAAAAGTAGGACTTGTATTCACAATATACAGAAATACTCTTAAAACTCAACAATAAGAAAACAAATAACTCAGTTAAAAATGGGCAAAACATCTGAACAAACATCTCACCCAAAAAGATATGCAGGCAATTGTTCACCATCATATTTCATTAGGGGATTGCAAATGAAATACTGAGATACCTTTACACACCTACTAGAATGGCCCAATCCAGAACACCAACAGCACCAAATGCTGGAGAGGATGTGGAGCAACAGGACACCTCACCCAAAAAGATATGCAGGCGAAATGTTCACCATCATATTTCATTGGGGGATTGCAAATGAAACACAGATACCTTTACACACCGACTAGAATGGCCCAATCCAGAATGCCAACAGCACCAAATGCAGGAACTCCCATTCATTGCTGGTGGGAATGCAAAATGCTTACTGAGGAAGACAGTTTCCTCCCACACTAAACACACTCTCATATGACCCAGCAATTGCTCTCTCTGGTATTTACACAAAGGAGCTGAAAGCTTACATCCACACAAAACCTGCACACGAATGTTTACAGCAGCTTGATTCACAATTGCCAAAAGCAAGATGTCCTCCGACAGGTGAATGGATAGATTGTAGGATATCCACACAATGGAATAGTATTTAGTGATATCTAGAAAGGAGGCATCAAGCCATGAAAAGACATGGAGGAGCCTTAAATGCATATGGGTAAGTGAAGGACACCAGTGTGAAAAGGCTTCACAGTGTGAAATTCTAACCCCATGGGATTCTGGGAAAGGCACAACTATGGAGACAATAAAAAGAGCAGCGGTTGCCAGGGACTTGGAGGGAGGGAGGAACAGGTGGAGAGCAGTGAAACCATTCTGCATGATACTGTAATGGTGGACACACGTCTTCATACACCAGTACATACCAAAGAACTGTACCACACAAAGAGTGAACTCTACAAAGTATGGACTTTCGTTAGTAACACTGGATCAATATTGGTTCAACTATTGGAACAAATGTATCACACCCATTCAAGATGTTATAGCAGGGAAACTGGATATGGGGAGGGGGGCGGGGAGAAGGGAGGAGGGACAGGGAAACTGGATATGGGGGGGGGGAGGGAGGAGGTGTATGGGTGCTCCCTGTGCATTCTGCTCATATTTTCGGTAAATCTACAAGTGCTCTAAGAAGTGTTAGGACAGTGCTGGGCATACAGCAGGTGCTTAATAAATGGTGGTTGTTGGCTGGATGTGAGGCAGGTTGTGTGCTAATGGCAGACACTTAGCAA